GCCATCGTCAGCAGACGCAACGGAGCAGAGAGACGTGTCGTCGCCGGCTATATATAGCCATAGAGAGAGAGAGAGAGGCCGGTCGGCCATTTGAAACAGAAATAGAGAGAGACAGAGAAAACCGAGAGAGAAAAAGCGAGCCCAGAGCGTTTACAGGGTAACCAAGGACCGCCCGAAGCTTCGTCGTCGCCCGCCGAGCAGCCGGAAGTCACCCAGGCACGCCGTCGACCGGTGAGCTTCCCCCCGGGTTCCTACTGCCCTGTTTTCCGCTGTTTTGGTATTCGGTTTGGCCGAGACTCGCGCCGGCCGTTTCGCGCGAGTCCCGACCCATACCGTCGTTCCCCGTAGTCTGTATGTCTTCTTTGAAGGTAAGTACAGGTCTCTCGAAGACGGCGAGGCCTCGAGACAGGTCGAAATCTCTTATTCTTGTCTGTGTACGCCATGTGTTCGCTAAAATGTCTCAGTGAAACATGTTTGTTTTTGGCCACCGGCCGGCGAGTGGGTGGCCGGACGGCAATTGGAGTGACTGAAGAAGTTTGGTGGTGGCCCCAGAGGCCGGATTTGGGGCCGGCACCGGCCTGGGTCGACCGGCGGAAGGCCAATTTTGGCTCCGCCGGCGTCGCCGCGTGTTTGTGCACGCGGGGTTGACCCGACCCGGATCAACCGACCCGACCCGGGTCAACGGCCGGGGTCAGATCTGTTGACCCTGGTCGGTTCCGACCCAGATCAACTGACTTGACCTGGGTCAACGTCCTGGGTCGGATTCGTTGACCCGGGTCGGTTCCGACCCGGATCAACTGACCCGACCTGGGTCAACGTCCTGGGTCGAATCCGTTGACCCGGGTCGGTTCCGACCGACTCGGATCAGCTGATCCGACCAGGGTCAACGCCCTGGGTCGGAGCCATTGACCCGGGTCGGATCCGATCGACCCAGATCCGCCGACCCGGTTATTATATTATTATTTTTTTAAAAAAAATTAAAAAAATTAAAAAAAATTTCTTCTTTTTCTTTTCTTCTTTCGTATTTCCTTTTTTTTTAAAAATTTAAATTTTTTTTAAATTATGTGGTATTTCTAAATGTTTTGATTTATTGTTGTATTAGTAGACATGTTGTTAAAATAATTGCCGTGTTTAATTTAGATAAGCCTTTAGGATTATGCAGTAGTATTTTGCATGTTTTTTTTACTACTGTTTTGTTATTATTATGCATGTTTTTAATTAAAACATAATTGCATGAATTGTTATGTTTTGAATGTCATCTGACTTAGTTAGGATTAGAACCTTAGGTTGCATATCTATCTTGACTACTAATCGTTTATGATTATGCACTCGCTTGATCACCTCACATGTTAGGAAAAAGGTCCTAAAATCAATCCAAATTGCCTGATAAATGTTTTCAGAAATGAACAGGGTAAAAAGATACCGAAATGGCATTAGTTATTCAACTAGTGTAACCAAGTCCCCGGATTCAGTTAATCTCTGGTTCGCAGGAATAGGGTGATTCTCCCATCACCTTATTTGGGTTTCTAATCGACCCACCCCAAATCGATTAGTGGCGACTCCTTGATATAAACCACTTGCATGTTAAAAAACTTAAACCCTAAGTCGCGATATGGTATGGGCTTGGGAGAGCCCGAGTTAAGTCCCGAACCTAGACTTAGCATGTACCAGGCGAAACTCCCTCTTTTGCATGTTCGAAAAAAAAAAGCAGGAGGTCGGTCGCGACAATACTAAATCAATACAAAAAACAATAACAAAAAACAATTTCTTTTTTTTGATCGAAAATAAAAATGCCAAAAATCATTATTTGGATATTTTTAGTTGATGCTTTTTAGTTTACTTTTATCTCGTTCGACCAAAAAAATCTCGTTTGAAGACATTAGAATTAAAAATCACATTATTATTTCACTGAAAATAAGAGAAATTTCGCCAAGTGTCTCGATTTCTACTAATTAACTATAAATTAATATATGATGAGATATAACTATTTCCTATCTTATTTCAAGAAGTACTTAAAAAAATTTATAGACTTCCCTAAATGTATATGTTGTTCATCTTTTTCTCCACAATGCCAATATGATATTAGAAAAGATTTGTTTTATCAAATGTAGATTAAGACAATATTCCTCAATGAGGAAAAGTAGATTTCTTACCATTTGATCAAATTGATAGTATCGATGAATAAAGATCGATCATAGCACAAAAAGATCATTGCTTTGTGAATCTATTTACTCCTATGATTTTGTTTTTTAGTCTCCATGTTGTCTATTCATATCGGTAATTCTAGTCGTTCCTTAACCATACTTTATGAGTCAATTTATTATTTCTATATATGTGTAATAGATATTTTGTCTTAATTTATTTGTAACGATGCCGAAGTTTCCATTTGTAATGCCCCTACAATGGAATTCAAAGATACCATCGGTGATCGATGGCATAATAACTCAATTTAGAAATGTATTTTTTAGGTTAATGACACCACGGGCGCTAAAACTAGTGTCGGTTCGGACTTAAGTCTAAATTTTTTTTTCGTGTATTTAAGTTCTAAAACTTTTAAGCTTTATGCATTTCATGACTTCCCTAGAGTCCATGTATTTTTAGTGGATGGAAAATCCCAAGTGGCACCCGTTGTAATTTTTAATCCCATGTGGCGGAGCTTATCTAGTACAAAATGATGTTCTTTCACCATTGCCATTGTAGACTCTTATCTTTTACTGAGTTGACAAAATCCGGATTGATCTTCAACTTTTGCGAAAATTATGATCCTAGTACCATTGGCTCTTACTCTGCAAGGGCTTCCCAACGACACCCACTTTACTCAAATCAAATTCTTTGATCACTGGATACCCGATTTTTAGTCATAGCCGTCCGATCTCTCGACTAGGTTGAGAAAATTACAACCGTCACAAATCAAGTGATGAGATCACGAAAATCTGATTAACTTTTTCGATACCTTAGAAATCACCTCGATCAAAGTTTATTCGAGAAAGATATTGTTATTTTCTACCTCAGCACGGTTTCGTCCGATTCGTGGAAATCCACGATCCTGACATCTTCTCAAAAATCAAATTGTATTATTGGAAAGTTCGAGTCGTGAGCTTGATTGGACGTTGGATAACACAGATGGACGGTTTAAGATTGATCAAAGTCTTGACAAAATCGTGCGGACGTCATGTGGTATATATCAATGCCCCGTGATAAGCCGCCAGGCAACGACAACACAACGTGGGATTGGCCCAGTCCTATTTTTCACTAATCCCAAGAATTTTTTTTTTAAAGCATTTTATTAGCTTTTTCCTGCATTGTAGTGGCCTTGAGAAGCATTTCCCTTTTGCTTTCAAAATCACATAAGAAATAGGGCTCATTCTCACTCATTCTAGTCCTGGTAAATTCTATCTAGGCTCCCAGACTTTGAATTTAACTCTCTTGATGTGGAAAATCTCTCTCTCATTTGGACTCTCTTGTGTCTCGGTGCTTGCTTTGCAGGTGTTAAAAGCATCTCTCGAACAAGGGACATGTCCTTTCGCTCTCTCTTCAAACTAGCAAAATTGCATGTTGGAGGCAAAATGCTTTTAGAATGAATCCTCGGTATAGAAGTAACGTCGCTATGTTACCGAAATAAGTTCATACTTGTTGATAAACATATAGATTGACATTCTGGGGAGTATTATATGCATTTTTATTTAGACACCCTATTTGACCAAGCCGATCCCTTGTCCAATACCGAGGATATCGATCTGAATGGACTAGAGAGGTGGAGACCTCGAGCGCCGTCGGTTGCTGAATCCAGGCATGTGCATGTGGATATTTTCGTTACATGTTTTGACTAATATTGAAATTTGAATTGATAAAACTAACTCAATCTTTAATAAAAATTTGGCTTATTGTGCATCATGAGCATGCCGATTGAAATTGAGTAATGATGTTGAATCATATGCCAAAATTGTATCGTATGCTGTCATGAATAAGCACGTTGCTATGAAACTTGACTTAAATTTGAATTGGCACTTTGATTGAGTGTCACAACGTTGATTGATTAAGAACATCGTGTGATTTGCACGCTAATTTGCATTGAATAATTGGTCGAATTCGGATAATGTTGCATCCATAAGCTGCTCGACTCGCATGATTAATTTCGTTCGTTGATTTGAACTTCGCATTAAAGTAAGAAATGCACATTGTCTTGAATTTACGTGCTAATTAAGTCATTAATGATGGATAAAGTACTGTTTGAACCTGTGGGCTGTGTGTCAGTTGATTGACTACCTTGAATACATGAACACTGTTTTGATAGGATTGGATTTGTCCTAGTTCTTCTATTCAACATTTGAATGTAGCTCATTGATTGCTTCACGTTCATGAATCGCACGTTCTAAGAGACTGGGGACACACACAACTCGATGGAGTCGAGTCATTGTCCGCCCTGTGATGCCGCGATTTCACCTGAGGGCGGCAACAAAGTTCTCGATCTTCCAAAAACCTGAGAAAAAATTATATGTATATCAAAATAGGAAATCCTATGATATTGCATGAAAGAACTTAGCCAAGTGATGTGGTACAGGGCAACATGGGGTCGTTAACTCACTCCGCACGTGTAACCGAACTTCCGGACCTGAAGTTTCCGATTTGTTTAGACCAAATCAACTTCTAGGTGATTCCTCCCCCTAGCACCTATTAATTTAGGGTCTCAATCGACCTTGAATGATTGGTGACAACTCTTAGAACGATTTAAGGGTTTGATCAATTGTAGTTCACCTCGAACTAGGAAAGCTAGGTCATAGACTTTCAACGAATTTTCCAAAAAAAGAAAAGTTTAGACTTCCACTTTCGAAAAGAAAAAAATTGGATCGCGGGTTGTGAGACGAGGGGTTACAAGCACGTTAGGAAAAACTAAAATATAAAATTGCAGAACCTAAAATTTAGGGAAAAGCAAATCTGAGACTAGAAAGTATAAAAAATTGGAAATTGAGAAAAAGAGAGAGTTTGAATGCCAGCCCCGTTCTCTTTATTATTTCTACCTGCGGTCTAAAACTATAATGCAATCTGAGTTTGAATGCAATGGACGACGTTCACTCTTACAACTCGATGAAACACGAGACGTTTTAGCTGGAAAAGGAAATTCATCCTCCTCCACTCAACTGTCAACTGTTCGCCAAAATTAACTGACAAGTTCACAATCACTTTGTTACTCTCCCACTCCACTTTGTAACCCGGAAGTCCGATTCCGGAGAATGTAGGCGTAGAGGAGCTCGTTCCAAACGTCGGAGACCCTGGGGAGACACCAGTGGAAGCAATCGGCATAGCCGGTCGGGTTTGCTAGTTGCTCTTGGCTCAGGGAATGCCACTGCCTTTTATAAATGGAAGGGTGCGCGTCCTTGCGATACTCCGATAGCTGCGTTATGTTCAGGATTTGAACGTTGAGGCCCCTTGTCCACAGTCTGCAGATCGCCGCTTGCACTTGGGTCTTGGATTTGTTTATGTGAACTTGCAACCAATCTGACCATGTATTCAGGGCCATCTCATAGGCACGAGGCCCTTGTACCATCTTGTAAATTCCATCAGGACTCCCAAATGATCCCCACCTATATTTCGACATTTAAATTGTTCTTATATGTTGTTTTAATGAAATCATTCACTAAGAATTGTCTCTCAATTCAGTGCAATTATAGTGTAATATTTCAACAGCTAAACTGAAAATTGAAGTGATTTTCTTTTCTTGTTTTTTTTTTTGCATGAAAATGTAAGGACAAAATGAAGGATTTCCATCTCTTTTCCCTTTAAGAACTGGCTGAGTGGTCAAGTGCTTAGTTCAGATTGGGCAATGTATTTGTGTCATGTTATCACGCGGAGTCATCATGCATATAAGTCATGTTATCATGCTAAGACATAGGACTCATCAGGCATATAATTATAAATTAATTGATTGGTAGAAACTCTAGTATAGATATAAAAATGTTAACCAAACCTACGATTTCTCTTTTAGGAACACAAGCCCCACAAATGGGCCAATTGCTAGAAAATCTCTTTCTCAAACTGACATCCTTTTAGTCCAAAAAACTTTCATAATTTGTCTGGGTTAACATTTTTTTTCCACAAATGCTTTTATACTCACCTATGTCAATCGATCCTAATGCATTATGCAACAACTTGTTTATAAGCAATATTCTTAATCATCCTCTTATGTTGTCGAATAATTTAGATTATAAGAAAATTAGACATCATCTTCTCCCATAATGATTTGTATTATCATAAAGAGCTTGATGAACTATTATCATATGTAACATCTATTTTAAGCAACATGTTAAACTTTATTCAATTTAAATATTATGGAAAATTATATTTTTATCTACATGTCAATATTCATATATTGTTTTGAAAGTTTTAAGGTGTCTGCTTTACACAAAAGTAAAAATTTGAAGAAGAAAAAATGGCAAAAGTACACTAGAAGTGCCATAACTTGTGTACGGCGATCACTTTGGTGCCATAACTTTTTTTCGGATAACTTTGGTGCCAAGTTGGAGGAAAATCGATCACTTTAGTGACTCCGGCCAAAAAGCTGACCTGGCATTTATATTAAAAAAAAATGGTCTGACTTGTACACGGTGGAAATTACGTGGCTTTTTTTTCTTATTTTTTAATTTAAAAAAAAAAAAGTTGCAGCCGGGAAGGGCCGGCGGTGGGCGTAGTGGTCGGCGAGGGTCGCCGGCCCTTGGCCAGGGCCCGGCAACCCTCGCCGAGCCCAGGGAGGGCCGGATCCGGCGACCCTCACCTAGCCCAGCGAGGGCCGGATCCGGCGAGGTCTCACCTCGCCGTTGCGACTCAGGCGACGGCGAGGTTTGGCCTCGCCTTCGCTGGGCGAGGTGAGACCTCGCCGTCGCCTGGGTCTCGCCTCGCCCAGCGAAGGCGAGGCCGCACCTCGCCATCGTGACCCAGGCGACGGCGAGGTCGGCCTCGCCTCGCCAAGCAAAGGCGAGGCCGGACCTCGCCGTCGACTAGGTCGCGACGGCGAGGTCTCGCCTCGCCGAACGAAGGCGAGGCCAAACCTCGCCGTCGCTGGGTCGCGACGGCAAGGTCCTGGCCTCGCCGTCGCCGGGCAAGGTCGACCTCGCCGTCGCGACCCAGCAACGGCGAGGTCTCGCCTCGCCCAGCGAGGCGAGCCGCGCCTCGCCGCGCGACCCAGTGACGGCGAGGTCGGCCTCGCCCGCCCAAAGAAAGGCGAGGCCGACCTCACCGTCGCCTGGGTCGCGATGACGAGGTCTTGCCTCGCCGTCGCGACCTAGGCGACGGCAAGGTCCGGCCTCGCTTTGCCGGGCGAGGCGAGACCTCGCCGTCGCCCGGGTCGCGACGGTGAGGTCTCGCCTCGCCGGATCCGGCCTCGCCGGGGCTCGGCGAGGGTCGCCAAGCCCCGGCCAGGGGCCGGCAACCCTCGCCGACCACTACACCCACCACCGCCGGCCCTTGCCGGCGGTGGTGGGTTGGCGGCAGCAGCGGCGAGGGCTTCCTCGCCGTTGCTGCAGGTTTTTTTTTTTTAATATAATATAATTTTTTTTTTAAAGTACACGTATGCGGGCTAAACGGCGTCGTTTTTGGTTTTTAATGCTGACTGGACCTATCCAGCGAGTCGTGTTAGCGCCACATCGAATTTCCGTCGAGCCACGTCAGCATTGGCACTAAACTGATCGATTTTCAAAAAAGTTGGCACCAAAGTGATCCGAAAAAAAGTTATGGCACCAAAGTGATCGCCGTACACAAGTTATGGCACTTCTAGTGTACTTTTGCCAAGAAAAAATTAAAAGTAAGTTTCATTCCAAATAGTAAGACAAGTTATGAAAAGTTTGGAACTTACTGATGCTTTAGAGATGTCACAGAGCACAAGGGACTTACAGAACTTTCATCTCCGGTGTCAACCACCAGAGGTAGGAATTGAATACGAGAATGTCCGCATCCGACCAAACCCTTGCATGCTTTTCAATGGCTTGAACTTGAACAATTCGCTCGGGTAAACGATGATTATATGGATGGTCGCTATTGGATTCCACTAGCATCGGTGCCCAGTAGAACTCAATCGTCGCGTTGTATTCTTAAGTTCATTCATTAGCCCCAACATCCTCACCAAAGGTCCAAATTAGAGCACTGGGACTGATTAATGTGAGAATAGAGATTGTTACTCGTTCGCATGCATTGGCTCGCCCCCAACTTCTTTCTCATCCCCCTCAGAACACGCTCGTGCCCAATTTGTTACCAATTCTAAATTTGTGGCACTTTCTCTAGTAATTGTCCACCCCTAGCATCTCCCAAGCAAAGCCTAAATAGATGGATCGACTGCTGCAATCAATTTGAAAGGGACAAGTACTAGTTCCTAGGATCATCTCCTAGCATTGATGTTGGCGAAAAACATAAAAAACGTTATCGATGGGGGCGCGAGCTTGACTTCTGGCCCAGAAAGATTTGTCCGAAGCTCCCAATCCAATTAATGCACCTAACAAAAGATTACGGGTAGGCTTAGTCGGGCCACGCAAAATGAATTTGAAATCTCCGATTGGTGTAAGCAAGGCTCGCTCCTCCATCTTATCCGGCTACTTAACGATTTATAATAGGTTTGTGGAGGCTCTAATCTCATTTGATTGATTATATGAAAAATCAAGTTGCGATGTATAAAGTTTGGGAGAGTCCCTGCAAAAGCATTAGGCACCACCTTGCCAGAGATGCATTTGCATCACCGAGGTTCATCTTGGGACTTATGGGAATCCTCTCATGTCCTGTCTAAGGGTGGTGGTGAGTATGCATTGTCCTTGGTTGATGAAAGATTGGGTTTGTCTACTTAAGTACATGAGTGAGGTAGTTGGCTGGTTCGCGTCGGGCAAGGCAATGATTGAAGAGCACATTGGAAGAAATTTCGTGTGCTTGTGAATTGAGAAAGGGTTGAAATTCTCAAATTTTACACAATTAAAGACATAGTGAAATACCATACCGATATCAACTCACCACAGCTGAATGGAGTCGCAAAACTCATGAGTGGTATTTCATTGGGGGAGAGCTCACTCTTTACTCTCAAATGTTTGACTTGATGAAGATAAGTGGGCTAAAGTAGTGATTATTGTATGTTGGTTAGTGAACAAAACACCACTACGAGCAATTAAGTGAAAAACTCTAGAGGAAATGTGGTCAAGTAAGCCTGCTATTGCGCTGAACTGCAATTGTTCGGTTGCCTTGCTTATGCTTGTGTGTGTGACGTGGCGCTAGAGTTGAGTATAAGAAGGTGCATATTCACATGCCATAGACGTGGGGGTGAAGTAATACAACATGTGGTGCTCTAGGAAGGATTCGTCTGGGTTTCCATGTTCAACAAATATTTAACTTTTGACGAGTGTACTCCGTTTCAAAAGAAGAGTGACAAATTGATTGATAGAAAATCTAGACGGTGTTAAAAAACAGGTGAAGAGTTTAGAGATGTTTAGAGTGCAGCAGATGTGATAGCGTTTGCAGAGTCACCAAATTCTTAGCAGCTGATAGTTCCTCTAAGTGACAGTTATGAAGCTTCGAGGTAGCCTATGAAGGTAGATAAGATAGAGCGATAGTCGTATGCAAATATTGAGATAGATGATTTAATTGCATTAGAGACAACTTCGGTACGGAGATACAAAGAGTGAAGGCCATTGGGATGTTGCAAATGATTTAGAGGAGTTATGTCGAGAACGCGTCGAGATACTTCAACATGTAGTTGAAAAAAATCCTACAAGTACCCCACTTGCTGCATATTAAAAATTATCTAAACTGTCATGGTGTTCTTGGATGGGGATGGAGTACTTGTTGCACGCTTTTTTTTGTGGTCAGTTACTTGTTACCTGCTTCACATGCTAGTACAGTTGATTGTTTGAGTTATGCCGAGGATAATACCAGCGTAATCTTTCATGTGCCATCGAGAGAATCTATGCAGTTAATCCAAGTGTACATAATGATGCCATGAAGTGGAACCTCCTAGTTTTGTTGGGGATGATAGTCGTTGGGGTATGTTCAGAGGATGTAGGTTAGGTAATGTGGCAACGACTAAGTTTGGAAGGTCACTGAGAGACATGGTAGTTTTGTCGATGACTGAAGCCGAGAACATGGTGAGACCACATAACAGATTGAAGAAATAATGCTTTGCATGAAATCATATTAGTCGCGGTACTTTTCGCGGATTATATTTAAGATTAAACAAGAAAAGTGTTAGAGTTTTTCTCTCTGTGAGTTTTCTAGGCAAGTTTTCTATGTGAAATTGTGAAACTTTATGAGTTTGTTTTGGCTAGGAAACACTTGAGCGATTGAAACTTTGCAATTCTCTAGATTCATAGTGGATTTCATTATGGCTATTCCTCCTCATAGAGTAAGTACAAACACTTGCTGGGAGTATGCAGCAGGAGCCTAATACTTTTGCTTGGGATATCGCCAAGAGGAGCTCAAGTTCGGGCCGTCAATATATTTAGTTGGACTCACCTTAACTCAAAAACTTAAACCAATAAATTATAAACAACTTGAATTTATTAACCACTACATGTTACACTAATTCTTCGACGTGGTACTCTTCGAACACAATTCACACTTCTCCCCTTTAAATGTGAGCTCAGTGTTAGGTTTATTTCCCTTCAATTTAGATATCTTTTTGTATCAACATGTCTCAACTTGAATTTCCAATGCTCATCTACATCTCTAGTCTCTTTTACTAGATTGAACCTCTCTTTTCCCAGACTGAGCCATGAAAGTTGCCATCGAGACCGCATAGCTACTTCACAACACCCACCTTCACCTGAAGCCTCTTTTGCCAGACCAAACCATTTAGGCTGTCAACTACCATCATGACTGCCTAGAAATCGCATTTGGCCACGAGATCCTTTCCTTAAGATATTCATCATATACTGATACACATTGGGTGTGAGCTACCAATCAACTATTGGTTTTGATACTATTTGTTGGGAACGTGCAGTAAAAATTCAACCTTCACCTAGGAGATCACCAAGAGAGAGCAAAAGTCCGAGCCTATCAACATATCTTATTGGACCCACATTCACTTAAAAGTTTAAAGTAAAGAGTTATCATCAGTTAAGATATATTAATTACTTTACACCACACCAATTCTCTAATGTGAGTCTTTTTTTAACACAACTCACACACGCATTTTCATAACACTCGGGTCAAACCACGTAAATATTTGACATATTTATCGTTCATTATTGATTTCTCTGGTAATTTCGTTCTCCTATATTTGGTATTGAATTGCGAGATCTGTTAGCTTCCGCATTAATTTCACAACCAGAAGCATGTGATAATTTTCGGTGACGAAGGTCCCAATCATCAAAATTATGAGAGGTTACAAAGTAACCAGCGCAACCAAAAAGGGGAACAATAATATCCGAGGGAAGATTTTCGTGTTACCAACAATCAACATAATCTCGAAGAGAAAAACAAAGGAAGGAGAGAACTTACCATGGCATTGAAGGCGATTAACGAGTGATTGTGGTGGTAAGATAACCATTTGAGGTTGGGAGGGATGGAGGACTCCACGAGGCAAATCATCGACACCCATTGTCCTCTGTTCAGAGAGTCCCCGACGTACACCAGCCTCTTGTTCCTCAATCTCTCTAGCAACCACGTCGCATTGAACCCGTAGAGAAATTATAGGATGACATACATTATACCGCATTTAAATCGTTAGATCTGGTGGGATTTACGTTCGATGCGACTTATCGACGAAATAGTCAAGGTCGAGTTTGGCACACTCGCTGGATTCTTGCTGGGGTGAGTCAGGAGTGACACCATCTAATAGCGATTCCTTTCATTACTGTTATGCATTAGAACAGCGAGAGATGCATCTACCTGGGAATGTCACAGCCATGGGGTTGCTGATGTAGCTAACAAGGATCACCTAGAGGGGGGTGAATAGGTGATCTTAAACAATTTTTGATAATTTATGCGGAAACAAAATAAATCACAGTAGAGTCTGAATAAAATTCAGATTCAAGACAGATTATAAAGACGGTGCTCTTGATGTGCATAATGTACAGTAAGAGATAAAGGATAGAGAATCTGCACACAAGTTTATAGTGGTTCAGCTTATAGCAAGCCTACGTCCACTCTCCCATGCTTACAACCTACTAGCTAGATTTCACTATGTAATCAAGAGGAATTACAACTTCTGAGTATTAACACTCTTGTGTATGATAGGACTCTCTATCTCACACAATCACTCTTACAAAGCGTCCCTCAAGATCTTAATGTTTTGCTCAGAATGACAAGAGAAATGATTGGAGTATGCTCAGACTTTGGACTTGTTGATTCTTGATTCTGTTCTTCCTTCTGCTGCTCGTTGATCTCCTTAAATACTCCTCTACTTCCAAAAGTAGCCGTTGGACAGCATTCAGAGGATCATCTTCCAATCTTCACCTTGGACAGATTTGTATAGAAAGGATTGAGTAGCCGTTGGATAACAGATTCCGAATCCCGCTGATTCTGGTTGCCCATACAATCAGAATCTTGGTTTCCATAAGTAGAGCTTTGTCCGTTGTAATGCATTCTTGTCGTGATGTTTGATTGTCAATTAATTTGATTGAGATTGAGACAATCAGAACATTCCTTCTGTGAAATCCATGCCAGATCACTAGCTGTTGTGATATGTTCTGAATTTTGCGTCTGAAGAAATTTTGCGTCTGTATCAGAAGAACTTCTGCGTCTGCGTCTGAAGAATTTCAGCGTCTGAATAATTTCTTCGTCTGTATCTACATCCGAATAACTTCTGCTTCTGCATTTGAATAACTTCTGCGTCTGAATCTCAGAACTTCGATTATGTGGGTCTTCAAAAACATACTTGACAGTTTGTAAAGTCTGAATAACTTTCTTCTGAGCTTCCAGAATATACAGACCTGGAATAAAATTGTTCAGAATAAGTATTAGATTTACAATAACATAGAAGGTTTTGTCATCTTCAAAATCAATAGGAGTTTTCCTCAACAGTTGCCACCTCCAATGGCGATACTGTAAGTCCTTCCATCCGAACTTCTCGCAAGCCACCTGGTCTAACGTGAACGCGCATTGCTTCTCCTCATACAACGGATAAGACGCGTTGTCGTACACCCACCTCCCCGAGAACAAATTGCACAACGTCGTCGCGCTTTGAGGCGAGGCACCCTTGGTCGGTGGCGGCCGTAACCGAGAGCCGTCACGCGCGACGGAGAGGACGGCAACAATGGCAGAGGCGACCAGGGAGTGGAAACTGCTCCTGACACCCCATGTGGCTGAAGTTATTTCCGCTTTGTTCGTCATATTTCACGCTTCTGCGATCTATCCATACATCTTCTGCATCTTTTTTTGCACTTATATGTACCGAGGGGGGACCTCTTGGGTTAGTCAGGTGACCCACACCTCATGTCCTTGTCTACTATCTTGTCTGGAGCAATTATTTTTCTCCATGATTGATTCTATTATGTAAAAAGTAGAAAAGTCATTTCACGAGTCCATCTAATATATAGGTATACTTATATGTACTTACACATTGTATTGTCAATCATTTATTAATCAATCAAATCTTCGAACCGATTCGAACCTCGAACTTCTTGCGATATGGAAGGGTCGGAATCTGAAATCTAAGATGTAACAGGTCTCAAATCTAAGATATTGCTTTGGCCATAGTCTCCAATCCGATCGAAGATTGAACGCCCCAATCCCTGCCTCTTGACCATGTAAAATGACAATGCCCCGGGTCAGTGCTGGACCTAGGTTACACCAAATCTGACCAACATTATCTGGCCTTGAATGAGAAGGTCATGAAAAATCTACATTAATTAATTTAAACGGGAAAATTCTACGTTGTGTAATATTAATAATGGGACCAATCCCCTTCAATCTAATCCGTTTGATCAAAGAGAGAATAGAGTACCATCGTCGGATGATGATAGAAAAATAATAACTTGTCAACGTCCAAAACACTTCCAAATGCACCGTTTGCCGCTTTAGTCTGATCGAAGGTGATAAAATCATGATTTTTGTCACTTTAGGTTTCACATAAGGTGATGAAAATTCGTAGGTTCAAAATTGTCCCAACTTTGATTATATCAATAGCAACAAAGAACAAATTTTGTCGCTTAAGTCTAACTTAAGGCAACGAAACTCTGAATTTGTCGTCTTATAGTATGAACTAAGGCAACAAAGAAACTCTGAAACTCTGAATTTGTGGCCTTTGGTAGATCCTAACGTGACAAACTCGACAATTTGTCGTCTTTGGGTAACGTAAGCCCTGTGGCAAAAATTTCTGTCGCCTTAGGGTTTTTTTCTAGCAGTGATTAGAAATTTCCCAGCATTTTCATAAATTTACCAACAATCGAAGATTTTCCAGAATTTTTTGTTGACTGGACCGTGAACTCGTCCTTGACTGATGTATTATGTGAACTATGTCGTTACTAATTAATAAATGAGGTAAAGTTGAAAGATAGGTTTAGATACAGGCATAACCTCTTCTTCTAAATGACCTTGTCAATCGGATGTCCACGAGCGGGTTAGGGCGCCTGCATTTAGGCGACAAAGGACATGAAAATGACCGCCAAGCTGCAAGTTTTAGCCCCTCTTATCGGGTTAACAACATTGAGAAACTAATTTGCGTGAACGCAAACCCCATTGATTCATTCATTTCGGACTTGACAAACATGTAAGCGAATTAATTTTCTGATTTGAAACAACATTGCTTGATTATATAATGTGTGACGAGGATAGAATAGCATGGACACAGCCTACTGGAGCCAACCAACTGCATCGAGTAACGTCAATTGGGAGCATATTCACTATAGTTTCATGATCTGTTAGATAATTTATCTATTTTCTATGTTTAGGAGTCTAATTATGTAAAATGTAGGCATACAAGAGCTCGTTCCACACATCCGGCAGTCCGGGAAGGCACCAATGGAAGCAATCTGCGTAGGTGAAGGGGTTTGCAATTTGATAACTAGTGAGGTTTCTGGATTGCTTTTTGTGGATGGACGAGTGCGCGTCCTTGCGATACTCCGAGAGCTGCGTGATGTTGAGCACGTGAACATTGAGGCCTCTTTTCTGGAGCTTGTTGATGGCCTTCTGGAGCATCTGCATCATCCTGCGATCCGACCCGCTTCCCCTATAACCTTCTTTGGTGATCGGTTCTGTTTCTTCGTAGCAGTTGTGACCTGCGATCCCACCCCAATCCTTGGCCCTGCAGCAAAAAGATGAAAAATAATGAGCTGGTAAGTTCGGAAGATAACCTTTGAACCCTGCTAAATGAAAATCATAGAATTCGGGCAACAAGTGTGGTTACTATGACCGAGTTAAGTAATTGGTATCACACGAATAATTCAACACGAGAGAACTGTAGTATGTTTCTTTTGGCGTGATTATCAGCACTTCAGTAAACCTAGATTTTCAAGTTAATATCGACGTATTTTGAGTTTCTATGAGTTAAGTCTACCTTTCATGAGTTGGAGACAAGCCCATGAAAAACACCTGGGTCTTCGATCTGTTTCTATGAACTTTGATCGAATCTGACCAAGTGTTTAAAGCGATCTTGTATGCTCGAGTCATTTTCACCATCTCATATTTTCTGTCAGGACTTGCAGCTGATCCCCATCTGGTTGCCAACATTCAAGGAAAAAATGATGTTAATAGATAATCCAAAAAAAAAATATGGGATGATATTTCTCAAATTTTACCGCATATAATATGTATACATTGATGATCTTCCGGAGTTATAGCGCACAAGACGACACACTAAAGTATCAAGTCTCTTGTGCTTAAGAGCATTGCAACAACAAACATATGAATTTAACAAGAGGATAATTACATCAATAGTCTTGGACTTTTATTAAACGTCAAATGACATCGACGACGAAGCTTTAAGATTGGCCGAATGTGGTGTTTCCACTAAAAAAAAGTGAAGGACATCATCTGACTTGCACATTGTGTTGTTAACCTGCCCTTCAATTTTTCATTTTGGCTCTCTCTGTGTTGCAATTAGAAAGTAAGTCGCCCCTATATATCATTAGTTCTTTCTACATAATCACCACGGAGTTGGCATTCTGCTTAATCGAAGGCCCGTGTTAAGCTAACTTTAGGAATTAGTGATGCAATTAAATGTTGAGCAAAAGTTTAGTACCCTATGATGTCATTACCCATTTTAACGAGTAAGCTAAGATAGAGAACGAGTTAAAGAGTTGATTCTCTCTCTCTCCCTCCATAAAGTAGCGACTAGAAACTTGGAGGTCAAATTGCAAACTTTAGATCTTCCAAGGTGCAGGAAATGCAGATATTGAGGAAAACTTACTATACTGGGTATGCTCAACATGTATATACTTACGAAACTTTGATCTTGGGTCCTTGCCTCCACCAAAGATAGGAATCGAAGACTAGGATGTCCACGTCGGACCAATATCTTGCATGCTTTCCAATGTCCCGAACTCGAACAATACGATCGTCTATCCGATGGTTCACCGGATCGTCACAGTTGGATTCCACCAGCAATGGTGCCCAATAGAATTCAATTGTCGCATTATAGTCCTAATCAATGTCATCCAAAAGTCAAGCGCAAAAAATCACTTCAATGCACCCAAAAAGATAACCCAGTTGGCCAACTTCACCATTTCACAGGCTCATATTTACCATCTTTACCTTTGATACCTATATGGTTTGATTTGATCAATAAATGACATAGATACACTTGATAAAGGGTACTAGTTAGGTTTTGAAATTGTGTTTTGTAGTAACATGCCAAAAAAAAGGATTTGACTGCACAATTAGAAAGTGTTTGATGTGCATCGAAGAATATTCCTACTTTTTTAGAGTCCTTATTTAAGTGTCCAAAAAATATTTATTAACAAGACCCATTTGGTATTGATGACTTCTTCTGTTAGAATATCAATTGAAAACATGGCTTAATACCGGCAATTTGATGTTCAAATAACTTGGTATCGAGTAAGCAGCTCTCCTTTGCGATGTTGGAGCTCATTGTCTCATATTACTTTCTTGTGCTAGACCTTGCTCTATTTTTCGCAAACTAAATGATAGAACTTTAGGTATTTTATATGCAATAATGTCGCCCCAACTCGACCAGTCACCCCAAGCGAAAATTTGCTTAAAATATATATCTTTAGAAAGAAATGATCACAAACTCGATTAGGTAGAATATCAAAGTATATCTAAAATATTCTCCCTTCCTCCATCCATGTTCAATATATCTAAAAATGTGGTTTGACACCGCATTTTGTGGAAAGTATAAGTACCGAATCCCCAAGACTATGAATAAAAAATCAGGAAATTGCTGTCAATTCATTGACCAAAAGTGTAACGGTCATCTTTTTCTAATCTTCCTAGAATAGGAACCTTTCGTGTAGTGTGGTGAAGTCGCGCTTCAATTAAGAGAAGAAAAAGAAGCTCATAACTTTCGTTTGAAACAACGTGGTAGATGCGTCTTCGTTAAACGTACCCAATGAGAGCTATTTCACATGTATCGGGATGACCGAAGTTTTGTATAATAAGGAAACGTGAGTAACTTGCTCTTTAGGGAGGGGGGACGGGGAGAAATTGAAGACAGAGAACTCAGAAGAGACTCACATGGGCATTGAAGACGATCAAAGGGCGGCTGTGCTGGACGGATCTTCGCTTCTTAGGGATCGACGACTGCACCATGCAAAGGAGAGAAACCCATTGACTTCTGTTGAGAGAGTCCCCCACGAACATCAATCTCCTGTTCCTCAGCCTCTCTAGCAGCGCCGTAGCATTGAACCTACGGCAATGTCACCATCCACACCTGTCAAAAACCCTAACCAAGATCTCCTCTGGTGAAGAACGTAATGCATTGAAATGTAGGCTCAAATGCTTCAACTAACGATTCTAGTTGCGAGCGAAAGGAAAACTGGTAGACATGGGTCGTGTATTGTGATCGACCCTTATTCATTAGTAACAAATAAGTGGCCTACAGGAAAACACACAATCTAGAAAGTAACAACGCCAGAACGTGGTTACGTACTGCGGCAGCCGGACGCACGCTAAAAACAAAGCTTTACTAGAAGGCGCTGCATCTAAAGTTGGTGATTCGATGTCCGACCGGTCAACTCTTCGCCCTCGACGCAGCACAAGAACGCTCTCACGGGCACAAACATGCTCCAGCGCTTGCAATGGAGAAAGAGAGATCGTGGAGAGACATAGATGTGTGCGCATTGTATTAGCTGGGGAAAATACCTAGGAAGGTCACAACCATGGGGTTGCCACCTCCATTGCTGGTACTTCAAGTCCTTCCGCCCGAATTTTCCGCAAGCCAGTTGGTTCAACCTGTGCTTGCACTCTCCCTCCTTGTACAGGGGGCGGGACGCGTTGTCGAAGACCCACCTTCCCGAGAACACGTCGCACAGCGTCACGGACGACGGTGCCATGCCGGCCGGGTTCGAGAAGAGCGACTCTCTATCTCTCCCCATCAAGACCAATGGCAGCTTCTCGTCGTTGCGCGTGGGGTATACCGCAGCGAAGATGATGTTGCCGACGAGCAGAACCACCAGGGAAGAGAAGAAGATGCTCCTGAGTCCCCACCATATGGTCACTGTCCGGGCTATGTGTGCCCTTCGATTTGATTCTCTTGTGCCATCTGATTTGATTCTCTCATGGCGCATTTTATGTTATCTGCTTGGAAGATTGAAAAGGAAAGCTGTGGATCGAATGTATTACTCGTGCAAGGAAAGCTTTGGTTATCGCTTCTTATGTAATGGGAGAAGGAGATTCTTTTCCATAAAAATATGAAAACAAGAAACCGCTACTTCTTTGAGTCGAACCGTCTTTGACACACTATTATATTTTCTAGATCTTTACCATTATGAACTTCATCCATATAAAAGAGGAAAGGATTATCATTATGTGCACCTTTTCTGAGCTACGTTTTACACTCAAGCACTAATACAAATTGCGAGCACTTCTAAATCGTGTTTGTAATGCGTATCAATTCGTGCTGATCTAATTGATTCTATATGGCAGATAGCTTAATTACAATGAAAACGTATGTGTCAATTCGTGTCAGCATATAAAGTTAGCATGCCTTGTCGTGTCATATTCGGATTTTCTTTCTGTAATTCGTATCTTGTGTCATATTTGTATTGTGCAAATGGGTTGTGTACAACATTGGGAGCCCCAAATACGCGTAGAATTGAGCAAAAAGAAAAAAAAAATGATTCAAACCGCTAAACCAAGTGAACTAATGTAGTTTAAGGGTGCGAATGATAACATTTCTGTTCCCGGAACAATTTCTTTTCAAAAATATATATTTTTTAATTTCTATTTTCTGGATGAGTTTCTTAGCAGAAAAACACGTTTGGTAACTGCATAAAATTTCTATTCTCAGAATAAAAAAACAACAGAAAAATGTTTAGTATGATCCTAAAAAAATTTTGTGACGTGAATTTTTTTAGTTATTTTAATGATTTTATGAGATTTTTCTAATTTTTGTAAGTTTTCTTTTTTTCTTTTCTAATTTTCCTTCCTTCTTCTTCCTCCTAGCCTCGCTGGCCATTGTCGAGGCTCGGCTCCCGAGAACACGTCGCACGACAGTGCCATGCCAGCCGGGTTCGAGAAGAGCGACTCTCTATCTCTCCCCATCAAGATCAATGGCAGCTTCTCGTCGTTGCGCGTGGGGTATACTGCAGCGAAGATGATGGTGCCGACGAGCAGAACCACCAGGGAAGAGAAGATGCTCCTGAGTCCCCACCATATGGTCACTGTCCGGGCTATGTGTGCCATGCGATTTGATTCTCTTGTGCCATCTGATTTGATTCTCTCATGGCGCATTTAATGTTATCTGCTTGGAAGATTGAAAAGGAAAGCTGTGGATCGATTGTATTACTCGTGCAAGGAAAGCTTTGGTTATCGCTTCTTATATAATGGGAGAAGGAGATTCTTTTCCATAAAAATATGAAAACAAGAAACCGCTACTTCTTTGAGTCGAACCGTCCCCTGACACCCTATTATATTTTCTAGATCTTTACCATTATGAACTTCATCCATATAAAAGAGGAAAGGATTATCATTATGTGCACCTTTTCTGAGCTACGTTTTACACTCAAGCACTAATACAAATTGCGAGCACTTATAAATCGTGTTTGTAATTCGTATCAATTCGTGCTGATCTAATTGATTCTATATGACAGATAGCTTAATTACAATGAAAATGTATGTGTCAATTCGTGTCAGCATATAAAGTTAGCATGCCTTGTCGTGTCATATTCGGATTTTCTTTCTGTAATTCGTATTTTGTGTCATATTTGAATTGTGCAAATGGGTTGTGTACAACATTGGGAGCCCCAAATACGGGTAGAATTGAGCGAAAAGAAAAAAAAATGATTCAAACCGCTAAACCAAGTGAACTAATGTAGTTTAAGGGTGCGAATGATAACATTTCTGTTCCCGGGACAATTTCTTTTCAAAAATATATATTTTTTAATTTCTATTTTCCGGATGAGTTTCTTAGCAGAAAAACACGTTTGGTAACTGCATAAAATTTCTATTCTCAGAATAAAAAAAGAACAGAAAAATGTTTAGTACGATCCTAAAAAAATTTTGTGACGTGAATTTTTTTAGTTATTTTAATGATTTTATGAGATTTTTCTAATTTTTGTAAGTTTTCTTTTTTTCTTATCTATTTTTCCTTCCTTCTTCTTCCTTCTAGCCTCGCTAGCCATTGTCGAGGCTAGGCTCCCAAGAACACGTTGCACAGCGTCACGGACGACAGTGCCATGCTGGCCGGGTTCGAGAAAAGCGACTCTCTATCTCTCCCCATCAAGATCAATGGCAGCTTCTCGTCGTTGCGCGTGGGGTATACCGCAGCGAAGATGATGGTGCCGACGAGCAGAACCACCAGGGAAGAGAAGATGCTTCTGAGTCCCCACCATATGGTCACTGTCCGGGCTATGTGTGCCATTCGATTTGATTCTCTTGTGCCATCTGATTTGATTCTCTCATGGCGCATTTAATGTTATCTGCTTGGAAGATTGAAAAGGAAAGCTGTGGATCGATTGTATTACTCGTGCAAGGAAAGCTTTGGTTATCGCTTCTTATATAATGGGAGAAGGAGATTCTTTTCCATAAAAATATGAAAACAAGAAACCGCTACTTCTTTGAGTCGAGCCGTCCCCTGACACCCTATTATATTTTCTAGATCTTTACCATTATGAACTTCATCCATATAACACTTACCTTTACCAAAAAAAAAAAACTTCATCCATATAAATATATTTTCTTTTCAATGTTTCTATTTCGCCGGTTTTATCCCGTCGAAAATCTTTCACCGAACGTTGCATTTTGGATTTTATTAGAGGAGACTAGGGTTTTGAGTCAAGCTCGGACAAAAAATGTCAAATGCGTTTATTAAGCCCAACTTTTATCTTACAACTTGACTAGACAATACACCAAACTCGATAATACCAACAATGGGATGATGACTTGCATCTATTGAGATCAAGCTATGTCGGAATCTAATCAACGACACAACTAATATGCGATATTACCATTCAAGGTACGCCAGAATCTAATCAATGACGTAACTTGAGAGAATATGGCTGAAATCTAATCAACAGCTATATTCCAAGCACAACACTGGAATTTAATCGACGACGCTGAACTGATGGCACAACATTGGAATTTAATCAACAATGTTGAACCTGATAAAGACTCTTGCCAGAATTGAATCTACGACGCTGAATCTGAAAGTTACAGCTCAAACTACTCCTAATGTGCTAAAAGTAAAGCTAGATAAAATATGTGTTGTGTTATTTGCGAAAAAGGTCTTTTCTACGTTGGAAATCCTTGAGTATTTATAGAGCAGCTTGATAACGGTTGACCGAACACTTCTCCTTGAAAGTCGTTTTCCACTTCCTTACGTTTCGCGCTTTAACCGCTTCCTGACTTATCAATGTTGCTTACGCTCCTTGGGCATCACGTAATAGCTGATTTTCTTCCATGCGTCTCTTTATTTCTTGCTATTTTCTAAGTGTTTTTCCTTGATCTTCATGCCCACGGTCATATCTTTACCTTTTGACACGTGTAAATGAATTTTTCGCCACGTGTCACCATAATTTCATACCACGTGCAAAACTCGTGATTTTGGACTTGTCGACGTCACGTGCAAAGCTCGTGATCTTGGATTCGTCGACGTCACGTGCAAAGCTCGTGATCTTGAATTCGTCGACGTCACGTGCAAAGCTCGTGATTTTGAATTCGTCGACGTCACGTGCAAAGCTCGTGATTTTGGACTTGTCGACACTTCTATGACGTGTCTTGTCGATAATTATCTTAAGTCTTCTCAATGCTTCTAGGCCTGACTCACGGCCTTTTCTGGATTTATGCCATGTGGGCCGTACTTTATATCCTTTGTGACTTGTAACCGACCTGTTCCCATCGGGGGTAATTTTGAGTGTCAACATATGCCCCCTTTTAAAAGGAATAAATTTGAATTTATTTCTTTTAAAGGTGTACCTTGTCTGTGTACGAATCCCTAGGCGATAATCATGCTTTTCTGTCCCTTGACGTCCTTTCGAACAATCCATACGAATTCTTCATCCAATATCCTTTGGACATATCACCTCGTATCTTCTTCGAACAGTCGTGACTTTTCAAATCATCTTCTTCATCTTGCATTCCTGTAAAAGCCTCGTTTCACCGCCGCGTCTTCTTCTTTAACCCTAAAAATCCTTTCTTGAACCCTTTTCCGATCTTGATCCATAATTTCTTATGGCGTCCAAAAAGTCTGAATATTTAGCCAGCGATTACATCGCGGCTTTCGACAAGTTTAAAGAAGATCCGCGCGCTGGTAATTGCTTTTTTCATTTACTGAAGCTGTCGAGGATGAATACAACTGTTTCTCTCTAGGCTCCAGTTTCATGGACCATCTCAATATTCCTGTGAATCTTCAATTCCATTTCCCGTATAAGCACAGTGAGACTTTGGCACTGCAAAATTCTTCTATTACGGATGTGTGGTCCACCGGGTCTTCTCGATTTCGAAGTTTCCCTTCTTCCGAAGATGATTTTCACAAATGGTTTTTCGGTTGAAGGCTGATCAAGAAACTCAACTTTTATGGACAGCTGCCGGAATCGACATCGCTCTCGAGGTCAGTATGTCATCTTATGACCTGGAACGTGGGTTATTGGGCTCCGCCATCACTTTCTGGTCCTCTTCCAGCAACTGTTTCTTTTTTCCTTGGGGACACATGTCCATCACTATGCTCGATGTGTTTGCCATAGCGGGTTTTGAATTGATTGGTCATGCCGTCGAGGATTTGCCTGTACTGTCCACTCCTTTTATCTCTAAAGATGCTCTGACATACAGCAATTTTTTATCTCGATTTCACCGAACTTCGAGTCCCGTTACCCAGGATGAGTGTCTCTTTTTCTTGCTCTTTTGGCTATCAAAATACGTGTTTTTTAGTCCCGCCCTTAAAGTTTGCAAAGACTATCTGTAAATTGCCGCAGCCTTAGCCACGGGACAACGCTTCACATTGGCCCCTCTTGTTCTTGCAGCTTTATATAGAGGCTTTACTCACGCCTCTCGGGCAATGAAGTTCAGGGATTCTGGAACCATCTCGGGCGCTTTTTGGATACTTCAAGCATGGATGGCTTTGTATTTCCCT